AAGTTGTTTTTAGCTCCACGACAGCAGGATTACAGATGCTCGGTTAGCTTGTCACCGTTTTACTTGTTTTCTGTCGGGAATCTTTCGCTGCTGTCGCCCGGAGAGACACAAGCCGCCGGAGTGTCGTCGACTTTCAGCAACAGGTGCGTGTAGTTTCCTTCAATTAGCTAAAAAAAATATTTAAACTTCTTTAAACAGTAAAATAATAACGCCGACTTTCAAAATTAGCTTTCACAGTGGCTTTATTTGGTCCCTGAAGTGGCTATTCGGTTCGACCGTTAAGCCGTTAGCAGCTCAGCGGTTTAAATGCTTCAAATCTGATATTTCAACAATTAATGAGGCTGTAAAAACCATCACAACACTGTTAATCTGTGTCATTTGCATCATCCGCAAGCCTACACAGCGCAGTGCTACTTCACAATTTTCAATTTGAGGCAATTTCCTCTTCATAAGCCTCTGGTTAGTGTCTGGAGAGGATGAAGTTAGTTAACACGTTTAGCTTGAATGTTGGAGGGGGGACACTTTAGCTAACAAAGCTTTGGGCCTTCACCTGGTTTAAGCTTTAAACAGTCAATTTCCTGCTATTTGGTGAATTTTCAGGCACAGTGGCTAAAAGTGAAGTCCTGCCTTTAAGCAAGCTTTCAAACAAAACTCCTACTTCCTGGCATTTTTTAAATAAAATGTAAAAATAAATGTTTAAATGCAGGTTCTCAGAATGTTAAAGGGGACATATGCCCTGTATCACCCCTGAATGTCTGCCTATGGTGCTGTACTATCTCTGTCATCTCATACAGACACACGCTATTTCCTCAAAGGTTATGTTGTACCTAACTAGAACTTGCCCTGCAGGTATTCTTAAACTCCTGTGAGTGTTAGTTGGCTCCAGGCATTTGAACAATGAGGAAAAAAGGTGTCAGGCTTTGCATACACCTTTTTGAATTGCAGCTTTCCCACTGCTTATGAACAGGAGCCATTTGTCCCCACTCTAATTTCCTTGGAAGTAGTTTAAAGGGAGCATAAAGTTTCCAAAAGGTACGTGACAGATGACTGGCTTGATGTTGTTGGACTTAAACAAACGGCTAAGCTGCTGGACTCCACCCGGCTCTCTGTCTCCTTAGAGGGTGGGAAGCTTACGTGGTAGCCAAGTTCATGTTGTTTCTGCTTGTACCACTGAAAACAAACCTTTCACCCGGGCAGAGGCTTTCTGTGGGATTTTTTAAATCCTCCTGCATCCTGGTGCTTTTTAGTCATTTGTCATTTTTGGAAAGCTCAGTTTGTCCAGAAGCATGTTGGGAAAATAGATCTAATGGCTTTATCCTGGTTCCCATGAACAATCATTTCCACTTTTAACAAAGCTATGCATCACTAAATTTCTATGGTTTGTCTGCAATGAGATTTAGGTAATCTAATAAAGCAGTAAGTGCTTTGTTTGCATGCTTTCTTATGAATGAAGGACTTCCAGCTGAGTTATCCATGAGGACTCTGGTAAACTGGAAGCTAAGGCTTCACTGGAGGCCAACAGGAAGAGAGAAAGGTCATTCAATCATCTACCAGTCATTTGATTAGGACTATGCCACTGTTTCTGTCCGCCTGCACCATCACCTCAGGGCATCAAGTGGCCAAGTTCCTGTTTTTGCTGCAGAGCTTTGCTTAGACAGTAGATCATAAAAGAATAGGCTGTCCAGTAGTAAACCCAAGCATCCTCTTCACTGATGTAGACTTTTTTTTATGTGTAAATGTCCCTTTTTAAAATCAGGTTTTGTCTGCATTTATTTGGGTGTTCAACGCCGAATATATCACCCTTTCAGCAAACTCTTGATGTTTTTCTTCATCTTCAGGAACATCTTTTCAATGCAACGCTGAACGTGTTGAACCAGTTCACCTGCAATAAGGGTACTTGGTTGAAGCCACAATGCCTGAGCCTGCTGACATGATTAACTTGGGGTTCCTGTCGGACTCTGAGCGGGAATTAATCCTGGAGGTGCTGCGACGGGACGAGGAGCTGAGGCTGGCTGAGGAGCAACGTGTGCGGTGAGAAAAGAGCAGCTTCTGCTATTTTATAAGTACCAAACTGTGTAAGATGTTGCAAATGTAGGAACTTTAGTGGGTTACCAATCAAAACCTTGTAGGTATTTGTTATTTATTATTGCTCAGCCCCATGTATTAGATAATGTCAATGGAGACTGCAGCAAAACACACTTTTTTCCTCGGTTCTCAGGAGGATAAGTCAGTATTGGTGTGGTGGCTGGTCAGAAATTATTATGAAATGTTATGAGAAATGTGGAGCAACCGGGTTAGTCAACTTGTTAGAGCCATGTACCACATTGGGTAAAATGTCCTCAGTGACTGAGTCCCTCCTGGCCAGTCCAATCATTGCATGTCATACCCCATTGTTTTTTCCCCACTTTGTGTCTACGAAAAGCAAAAATGCCTTTAAAAATAATATGCGTGGCTTTGCATAGTTGATCTACATAAACACCCTCACACATTTGTCTTTCAATTATAAACATCAACTATAAGATATCCCACTCAAATTCAACAATAAATATAATGATCCTTATGAACGGCAATTGTGTATGTTGTTTAAATATAGTTCATATGAAGGGAACTTATTTTACGAATGTACATAACTGAGTCTAGGTCAACAATCTGATTGTGTGGTTATTATATGTTGGCTGTATTTGTTAAACATTTATTTCTTAGTGTAGGTATTTGATACATTCTTTTGCACTCTTGCTGATGGTTGAGCTGGGTATCGCTTCTTCAACCAAAATGTGTAGAGCTGTGGGTTTACATCTGTCAAGTACAGAACATGAAATGCCTGCTCAGAGCTCGGACCTGTATTTCCTCGTCTAAATATTGTATGATGTAATTCTTTTCTTAATTCAGGGTCAGTTCGTGAACAGCTGTTTGTGTTATGGCAACTTTCAACCCTGATGCTGACATATTGAACTAAATTAAAATGTATATCTTCTTCAAACTGAAGTAGTGAAAGAAGTAAGATTTTAGTATCAGTACAGATATCCATGTATGGTATTGGCACCGGTATCAACCGTTCTCAACCCTAGTTATTAGTTACTGGCTGCAGAAGACAATTTTACACTAGAAACAATTTAACAGCGATACAGTACATCTTATCTCGATGTTGTGGGTTTTTTTTTTTTTGCTCTGCTGCTGGGTGATAATTCAGTTTACTGGCAGAAAGAGATATAATCACACACCACAACAATTGCTGAAGTTTTTTTCTATTTTAATAGCTTCATGCTATAGCAGTATATGAACCTTTTGATGAAAATGTCAGTATATATATGTAGAAATACCTGTTCTATTGATGTATGTATGTATACTTCAAAAAAATCAACAGAATAAGAACTTTTCCCAGGGGTGCTCAAACTTTCGCATGCAACTGTTTATGTAAAACTCAGTGTGTGATGTTTGTCATTCATGTTGTTTCAGGAAGTTGAAGACAGAGTTGATGGAAGTGAAGAGGAAAGGAGCCAAACGTGGCAGTGGTAGATACAGTCAGTATATTTGTGCCCGATGTCTGGAGCCTCTGACTCGACTGGCTGTTTTCTCCAGCCAGTGTAGGATATGCAATCACCATGTCTGCCGCAACTGCCGAAGAGTTATGCCCAACGATTCCTGGGTGTGCAACGTGTGTGCCAAAGAATCGTGAGAGATGTTTTGTTCATATTTCCAATTTTGCATGCGGCTAAAAACCCTCTGAACATGTAAATCTTTAAAAACAAGCCACTAGCATGTATTTTCATTATTCACAGAGGTTGAATATTTTCCTTATAGAGATTAGAGCTGTAGTTTCAAACAACCATTACTCAAATGGGTTAAAACTGTGTACATTTCGGGGACTATTTCCAGCATTAGACTTACGTACACTTGGTGCACAAATGAATGTTTCTGGCACCAGGATGATGTGTTAAGAAGTGATTAAGTATTATCGACTGTTGACATATTCATGGCGATAAGGATTGAGCATTTCAGCCAGCAAACAAAATCCTTATCCATGTAAGGTATTTGAAAGCACTTGCTGAGGAGAAAATATTTACACTGAAGTCATTACGTAGTATTTGGAGTCTAAATTTGTAATCTTGAACTGTAGCATTTTGATAAATTTTTCCTTGGAAAAAATCCTAAGTTAATACTTAAATGTAAAAATAAGTGTTTGTCTCAGAGACTATTTTAGTGGATGTTACGTTTTATCAGCATTCCAGCATGCAGTCTATCTATGCAACCACCAACCATAACATTTTATTATTTTAGATCCATCAATGACAAGCTGCAACGTTATTTAAACAGCTGAATGATATATCGTAATAATATTGTAATGAATATGTTGCAAAGACTAAGGTGCTGAAACTGTACAGCTCACAGCATATTGGGTAACCATTACCAAATCTGTTGTTTAACTGATTAATAAGTATTAATTCTGCTCTGTCTAGACCTGTAATATAGTGTTTGTGTTGGATTCCAGGGATCTGAAGAAAAGGACAGGTGACTGGTTCTATGATCAAAGGTTCAACCGTTTTTCTACAGCGCCTGGACATGACCTAGTGAGGGTCTCCCTGAAAAAGAGGCCGGCATGTGAGTACCAGAGCAGGAAGTGGATGTCAACTGTTCCACTAGGAATGTAAACAGCTCTGTGCCTCACCACAGTCACTACAATGTAGTTCCAGTTCCACAGCAGACGGAGATAAATGTTAAAAACTGCCACAACATTATCATATTTTATTGAACTTGTATTGAAGTGTTATTAAACTTTTTTTGCTCTGCTTTATAGCAAAGAAACATGAGACAGCAGGACAAACGCTCTTGAGAAGTACAGAAATAAACCAACATCTTGCCAGTGCTGTGCCCCAGCCCAGACAGAAAAACCTGACATTTCATCTAAGGTGTGTCAATGTTATTCACCATCAGTTTTGTCTCTCTCTGAAACATTATTGGGCGTTATTTTCAGAACATGTGAAATGTATCTCAACCTTTTGTTGTATTTTTATTGATGGTCATTCAAGTGAGAAATCAGGATCCATCACTTCAAAAGAATCATTTGAATCGAGGGACGAGGTCTGGTCAAGGCCAGTTCGCAGTGACACAGAGTCTGCAGAAAATGCCAGTATAGCGAGCAGCAAGACTGAGACTGAGACTGAGTCTGGCCGTGGGACCCCTGAGCAACCAAGGTACACTCACCTGGAGTATAACAGATAACACCAACTTCATAGTTAGTGAGAACTAGTCAAGTGAACTCTCTTGAAATCTTGCTTGAGGCTGTAATGACAAAAGCTACGTCAGACCATTTTTGGATGGAGAAAGGTGAAAAATAAAAACTACACACAATTCTGTAAACTATTAGGTAATAATAGTGGAGTGATATAATAAAGTACAGTCATAACAACAGTTTTACTTTACATTTGATTAAGTTGGCCTGAAAATACTAGACTTTACGATTACCGTTGAAATATGACAAACATGTTATAATTTGGACATACAGATGTTTGACAAATTAAAGTTCATGCCTTTAAAAAGTGTTTTAAGAAGATGTTCGGCCACCACATGCCACCAGAACAGCTTCAGTTTGCCTTGGCATTGATTCTCCAAGTGTCTGGAATTATGCTGGGACCATTTTTCTTAGGTATTTCCTCATTTGGCGTTGTGATGATGGGGGTGCAGAACACTGTCTTATACGTCAATTCAAATTCTCCCACAGGTGTCTCAGTTCATTTGAGATCTAGTAACTATAAAGTTCAACCTTTGATTGACATCCTTTTCATACTTATCAAACCATTCAGTGACCCTTCATTCTCTATGAATGGAGGCATTGCCATCCTGAAAGATACCAGGATAGAAATGTGTCAGCATAGTGATCACCCAGAACAACTTTATATTGATCTGCAGTTATTCTTCCCTCCAAGGGGACAAGTGGACCCAAACCTTGACGGTTAAATACCCCCTACAGCACAACAGAGCCCCCTGATTACCTCACTGTAGCAGTCAAGCGTTCAGGTTTTTTTTTTTGGTTTGCCACATGTCTGTAATTTGCAATTCAAAAAATATGTTGCAATCAAACAATGCAGCATAATGTAGTGTTACATAAAAGTGACGCAAGTCCAATCCATCGCGAAGGTCTGTTAGTGATAAACATGCAGCAACATGAAAACCTGTGGTGACCTGAGGGGGAACCTCATACTTTGCAATTGCTGGTAAAAGTTAGAAACCTAATAAATGATCGCTGATGGACTCATTATATGTAGACGAGTGTAGAATCCTCAGAAGCAGAGTCATGAACTCCAATTAAATTCATGCTTTCTGCCAGTTTTGGGCTTGGTTTTAACACAGTTTTCAGAATGCATGATGAGGAAGGTCGCGAGCCTGAAATGTCCTTCTAAGTAATTTAATTAAATGCTGTTAAAGTGCTGTCCTTTTCAGTAATTCATTTTTAAAGTACAAAGTCACAAAACTCATAAAAATACATTGAGATGGAGATGAAGGATAGATGTCTGTATAGTGGACAAATTTAATGTTAAAAGGTTTTTTTTTGTATGTATGTGAAACACACACACAAAAAAAACATTTTTTAGCTGCATTTAGTGTTTATTTTGTCAACCAGAACAGAAAACCAACCGGTTCGGTCCAGTCCAACAGGATCTCATGTTTCCAGTACGACTGCCGCAGTCAGAGCCGATACTGTCAAAGCTGCAAGTGCCAACTCAGACGCAAACACAGTAAGATCCTTTCCCATGGTCTTAAGTTATACTACTCTACTCTTATCTCACTGCCTCTTTATTTTTCTGTCACTATAGGTTCCAGAAGTAAAACCGGTCAATCCGAGCCCAGAGCTGGAGGTTGACAGACTCTTCAAGAAGAGCGTCAGACGAGCCCCAAACCCTCCCGGTGACTATCTTTCATACTAATATGTGCATTGCTCTTGTTGAATGAAAGACTTGTGTGATTAATTGCCGGTCTGTGTGATTACTGCAGAGTACGTCTCAACACTGGATCTGCGTGATGGATGTCACAAATCAGAGGCCTCGATGGGCAACAGGAGCCGTTCTGTACCAGGCTTAGATTTACAGGTAGGTAGTGCTGAGGAAAACTAAACTACTGATTCTCTGTACTGTTACTGATCCCATCAACTTTATTGCATGGGGTTTGATGTGGTCGGTCTAATGGGCCTGAGTTGTTCCACTATGTACACTGGTGTAGGAGGTACTGCAAGGAATCCTGCTGCCAGTTTTTTTTCTTTAAAATGTTTGACTTCTAAGAATAATATGAACATTTCAGGATTAAGCACATCCAAGATTGCTCTTATTGATCCTAATCCTTTCTGACCCACTGGCAACCACATCTAATTAACTACACAGGACATTGCCTAATGAATGGAGTTGCTTTTACTGCACTAAAACCTACAATTTACTGTTCAGACATTTTAACTTTTTCCAGCTGTTAAATTGAATTATGTTATTGGGTTGATCTGTGTTTTGCTGGTTCTAGGTAGGTGCATCCTCGCTGGTCTTGTTAGACTGTTTAAGAGAACATCTTTGATCAGATTACAATTATGGTATCTATTTAATAAACAAAAGAGATACTCAAGGGGCCAATTGTCTTATCATGTTTTTGTTTTATTTCCCTTAAGTACTATAAAATTATAAAACTGCAGCTATTTCCATGTGAGTGTATTATGAGCCTGCTAAATATTTATTATGGTGCCACAGGAAGATGATCATGATGATGAGGAGGAGGAGGACGAGGATATTGACAGATTAGTGAGCTTTCATAAAAGGACAACAGCCTCGAGTTCCTCCAGCCTGCGTAGCTCAAAGGTAACGTGCTGACTTCTCTCACAGCTCACATTAGTTCTGTGATGTACTTTTTGAAGCTCATTAGGTCTCAAAACAGAACTGACGTTAACTAATCTGAACAAGCATCTATAACCTCAGGATATCCTTTGGCAAGTTCGGAAGTGCGAAATTGATGCGTAAACGCTACCAAAGTGTTTCTATAGTTACCAGAGCCTGAGGGGAATGTACAACGTACGCTAACATGACTTTCAAGCTCTCACTCTGAATTTGGATATTGACAGAGCATCCTGATCATGCTTAATTACTTTGTTTACCCCTGATCTGTTTTCTGTTCACCTTGTGGCATTTTTTTTTTTTATATGTGTGGGTTTGTTTGTTTTTTTTTCTCTCTTAACCTTTACCGCTGTGATCTGCAGCATTAAATCTTGAGGAAATGTCTGTCCAATTATTATCTAAAGGTTAATATTTTACATTAATTAAGTTTTTAACAAATATAGGAATTGTTAATGATTATTTTTTTCACGTCTGTTTGTGCAGAGCACACTGGGCAGCCTGATGAGTATTTACAGTGAGGCAGGAGACTATGACAGCGTCGAGGTGAGCGGAGACATCATCTTCTCTGTGAGCTACGAGGAACAAACCCAAACTCTTCAGGTCTTCGTCAAGGAGTGCCACAAGCTGGCTTTTGGCGATGCTTCACGGCAGCTGTCCAACCCGTAAATATTCAAAACGTTTACTTTTTCCAAGCATATCTGTTATTTGAAGCGAAACATAACATTTGAAGTAAAGTTTGCTTAAGCTTTGGCTTTCGCAGTGGTGCAGTGCTGACTTTGGTGCTGAAAAGGACACATATTTGTACTGCACCCACACCCCTCAGTGATGTTAACACAGCTTTGATCAGTGAAGATAAGAGGTTGCTATGTTTACAGAGTCTTGATAATCACATCCCAGAGGTGATTAGTTGAGCTTCACAGGAAATTGAATGTCAACAGATATTTTTTTTTCTCTGCATCTAGTCAGGAAATGCAGAAGAAAGCCACTAGTCGGGGCCGGAAGAAACTCTGTTTGACACACTTTTCTGTTTCTGTGTTTCAGTTATGTCAAATGTTATCTGCTCCCTGACAAATCTCGCCAGAGCAAAAGGAAGACCAGCATCAAGAGAAACACTATCAACCCCGTCTACAATGAAACATTAAAGGTGATAGCTTATAAGTGGCTCCTTGTACCTGGACCACCACTGTTGACCTTAGCGTGTTAACTAAATGACACGCCCTGATTAGTGACCTTGCGCCGTGACTGCTGCAAATAGTGACCACACCTACAGAGACCTTAAAATTGATATTGACTTTGCAGATTAGAATAGCTGTTGTCAAATATTGATTTTGGTCCTGGTTCCAGTGTAGTCCGCTTAAATACAGTGACGAACAAAACCGTTTAAAGGGAAATTAGCTGGATGAATCCACTTGTACAAGATGACAGTTCTGTAAGTTTAGATTTGTTATTTAAACGTTAGAAAAAAGGTAATTATTTAGAAAGTTTTGGATGTGACTACTAATGAAATCTCAACTCATGCTCTACTTTAATCTGTGTTCCATGATTTATTTAAAACCCCCTCAGCACCAAACCATTAAAATTACATAAGACCTGTCCATCACTGTATCGGCAGCGAGACAGGCCTTTGATCATCACATTTTCTCTCTTCCACTGCCAGTACTCCATCCACCGTTCTAAGCTGTTCACTCGCTCCATGTTGATATCAGTCTGGCATCACGGTCGCCTCAGCCGCAACGCCTTCCTGGGAGAGGTGGAGATCCCTCTGGACTGCAGAGACCTCGACTCCCCGCAGGAAGACTGTATGGCTCTCCTGCCAAAGGTAGCTGAGAGAAAGTGGACTTACTTTTCTTTACCAAACTGAAATGAGCTCTTTTTAAAGGAGTCATGTGGAGTTTTCTTGCAATGTTTATACTTAGCAAAACACTTTATGTGTGTCTTTAAAGTCTTATGAAGATGCCATTCTTTCTTCATAAATAAATTGAAAAGCAGATTTTTGAGAAAAAGTTTGACACTTGCAATGTTTATATCTAAGTTTCCTTGCGCAAAGTCTTCTTTCTGCCTTTATTGGCTTATTCATGCTTACCTTGGCCTGAATGCTTTCTCATATACTTTTATCTTCTCATTACTGCCACCTGTGTATTAGGGGAATAGTGTAGCAGGAATATGTATTACAGCACTTTTTGTGTGTGTTTATTTGAATGAGACCAACAAAATGAGGGACCCACTTCTGGAGTTAGTGCTCCACAGTGCTAATAGAGGTCAGAAACTACACAGGATTCCTATAAGAAGGAAGGATTTGTTTCTTTCTATTATGTGCAAGCAAATAGCGCCAACACCTCAAGGAAAATGATTTAAAGGTGGAATACGAGATTCTACTTTAATACACTTTCTGTCAAATTCTGCAAATACGTCCTCAAGGTCCATTAGCTCCACTCTTTGTGTGCATTGTTCATGCACAGCCCTTAGGGGCTACCAAGCAAGATTAATGATTACTGAGGTATATTGAACCTCCAGCCAGAGTTTCAGCCTCGTCCGGTGCCTCCGTTTTAATCTCACTAGATCACCATGATAACAAGTGCTGCACAACTAACCTGCTCCGGTGGAAGTTCTGTTTAGAATTTTTTGGCTGTTAGAGGTCAAAAACTCCACAGTACCTTTTAACTTGTAAAGTAGCGTTCAAGATTCCTATGAACATTATTAATACCTTGTTAAATCCTAATGCCATTAAGGCAGTGTAAGTATGTTTTCAAGGTCGGAAGAAACAACAAATCAGTGTATTTTAAGATCAGAGTGGCTCAAATATCAAGAAAAATCAAGGTAAAGCTATTGATTGGTTGAGGCCTGGCTGGTATTTCTATACTTTTTCGAACACTAACATCTATACCAGGCTCAGCTATCCTGTGTTTTAGTATGGAGACATGTTTACTGAGTTCAGGTTTCTTGTGTTCTTGTGTGTCTCCAATAATGATGGACTTTTTTTTTTTTTTTTTTTAACAGGCAGCCTCTGTTGTGCCAGCTTCAGCTTTTGCTCAGTACAAAGGAGAGTTGGTGATCTCGTTGAAGTATGTCCCACCTAAAAAGCCACCAACTGAGAAAATCAAAGGTAAAACTAAGATAAGGAAACTGCTTGTACCTCTGTAGTGTTCATAGACTTTGCTTCAAATTTCTGAAAGCGCCTGTCCCTTCATCTTCTCATCTCAAGGAAAAAAAGCAGTACCTGATGAAGGGGGCGAGCTGCACGTTATAATTAAGGAGGCAAAAAATTTGATGGCAATGAAACCAGGAGGCACATCGGATAGCTTTGTAAAAGGGTTAGTGACAAAATGTCGACTCTAAAAATCACAGTTTTTAAACAAGCATTTCTCGTTCTAAGCTGCCATCGTGTTTGTGGCTCTGCAGGTACCTGTTCCCAACAAAAGCAAAGACCACAAAGAGGAAGACTTCGGTCGTGAGGAAGAATCTGAACCCTCACTATGACCACACGTTTGTGTATAAGGATTTGGCTCTGGAGAATCTGAAGGGGATGTGTCTGGAGCTGACAGTGTGGGACAGAGAGGCCATGCTGAGCAATGAATTCTTGGGAGGAGTCCGCCTCAGCTCTGGAAGAGGTAAAAGAGAAAATTCAGTGAATCCTTTTTTCTTTTCACCTGGCTCTCGAATGAATCAGACATTTCTCCCATATCTCTCTGTAGCTGCTTTGCATGACTTAAACGAGCCTTATTTAGTGTGAAACTATATGTGAACCTTATTGCCTTGGTAGTCTGACTATAGCATTGTAAACAGAATCATTCACCTTTTGCTCTTAAGCTGTAGGGGTCAGCTGCCTTTTTCCTTTTAACAATTTTTATTTTTATTTTTTGGCTTTATCATAGGGGCTTGTGTTTTATGACTATCTTTATTGTGTGTAAGTCAAATCAAGCACATGTTTTTCAGAGTTACAGCTTTTATTGCAAAATCTCATCTTTGTGTTTCCATCCATCTGCTGCAGCTCAACAAGGAAACACAAATAGAAAAACAAGTGTAACTTTGGAATATACTGACATGATTTGACTAACACAGACTGCTGAAACAGAACCAGGGCTGTGGATTTTGTCCCCATCTCATACACAGAAAACTCATCAGGAAGAGATCTCAGCCAGTATAAACAAGAAGAATGATTACAGCAGGCAAAATCTGTTTCACTGTTCACATGGGCACCTCATGGTTATTTTAAGACCAACTTGAAACTGAGTCCTATCCTTAATTGCAACTCAGTGGTCTTGATTTGAGCACTTTGGAGGGAGCAATGGTTGTAACACCAAAATGAAGGTGAATTGAACAAGTCTTCACAAAAAGAGAGAGTAATACCATACCTATCTTTTCTTTTATTATAGTTATATATAATTTATCTAGTTATATAGTATAGTTATTATAGTTTAGTTTTATTGTAAAAGCATCACTGACATCTTTAGATTACTGCCTAAGCACCCGTTAGACTTCTGTGTCTTTTTTCCTGGTGTGAAAACTGAGCAAAAGGAATTTGCCGTCATTAGTGATAACAGCCTAGATTGTGTGTTCACTGTGTAATCTTTACCCCTGCAGGCACTGTAAAAATAGGAAAGGAGGAAATGGAGTTGGACTCGGTTGGAGAGGAGGTCAGCCTGTGGCAGAAGATGATGCAGTATCCTGACTCGTGGGCAGAGGGCGCTCTTCCCCTGCGTTCCACTATGGGGAAGGCCAAGGGCAAATGAGGACAGCACAGGCCCAAACCCTCAAAAATATTCCAGGGGCTGAAGCAGAGAGAAGCTGGGGTGTCTGAGACAAACATGAGATTTTGGATTCATTGTAGCATTTTATCAGACCAAAAGCTTGTCTACTAAAGTGAGTAGTCCCACGGTTCATTGGCCGACTGAACACTACACACCGGCTCATCCTTTAACACGCCCCCCGACTGCAGACTGTTGTTGAAAATGTGCCAAAGTGTCGCAACACTAAATTTATCTTAAGAGCATGGACACAGCCACTTTATATTTTTAAAATGTAGACTGTATATATTATTGTAGTTTGAATTTATGCACAGAACTTAGCACAGAAACAGTGTCTTAATTTGTCACCCTTTTCACATACATGGGAAAACAACACATTCTAAACTGGTATTGGACAAAACTTGTGTTGCGTTCAACAATTTATGCTTAATTTAATCCATATTATATTTTACATTAATATAAAACTGTATTTATATTACAAGCCTTTATATGAAGCCATTAAATTTGTCTGTTTTAAATTTTAAGATTTTAACTTTTAACCCCTCAGTGGAGTGTGATCAGAGTCACGTTTACGTCAAGGTTGCCTTGAATATTCTGTTCACCAAATAAAAAGTAACTAAACCAAGACATGCTCGATTGTCTTAACTCTGCATTACACCTGATATCTCAGTCAAGCTGGTACATTTACAGCCACTCAAGTGCGTGATAGTTATTAGTATTTCAACTGGGTAGTCTTAGCTCTTATGAAGTTTCAGATTACAAACAGGTTGAAAAGAAAATACACATCCACATCTTGCATCCAACCAAGTGTTTTGTATTCATGCTTCACTCTGTATGCGTATATATTTAATACTGCGTGTGTTATTCCCCAATCTAATAGGTTCTATTTTCTGTAGCAACCATTTCCTGTCCTCCGAGCCCCTTGGCTGATGATCTGATACAGAGCAAACAGTGCCAGCACTTCAGTGTTGTATAGTGATCACATTTGAACAGGAGGAACTGCCGTCTCTTCATCTTTTCCCCTCACATGTTCCTGTGGACCTGGTTTCTGGTTGTTTGTCCTTCCTTATCTTGTGTTAGTAATACTGATGAGTTTATTGCTGTGGCAACCAGAGAGGTTTATTGAATTAGTCACAGAAATCTCTGTGAAGCTCCAGCCGCTCTCGTTCCTCTTCATCCAGCATGAAGCTGTCTATGTAGGAGAACAGCTCATCCGAAGCTATCGGGGTAATGAATCGCTCTCGGTCCAGTCCAAGGTCATCCAGCAGCACCATGCTGAAGTAGTACCTGGAGATTCTGAATGCCTGCCTATAGAGGACCACAATACAAGCAATTAGATTCTTAAAACAACAATCTCCTTTCATACTTGGACATTATTACAGTGGTTGTAATCAATATTTTTATACTAAAGGATAAAATGACAGTGCAGTGTGGAATGGGTAGCTCACTACCACGCCACTGTACTAAAAAACAGAGGGACAAAATTGGCAACTGTCCGGTGTACATGGAGGAACATTTAGCTATTTAGTTTTAAATATTTCCATCAACAGTTGGTAGAGATCAAAAATAGAGCCAAAAGTAAATAATGGACTTACATTCACCACATGGACAGAAACACAAAAGCAAATTAATACTAAAGCTGCTAATAATTACCACCTGTTTGCAAGAAACCTTCTTATGTTAACTTATAATGTGATGATATGTCATAGTTTGAGTGTTGTCCCAGAGTGGCAAAAGAAAAAAAAATCTGATATTGCAAGTTTAAAGTAGCTTGTATGTATATATTTTTGGCCACTTGATGGCAGGCTGTAAACATGACATCAACTTATAAAGCTGTTATGGTAACATGTTAGCATTTATTTGGACTCTTGTTTTGGACAGCTGATTAATTCAAGTCCGATATTTACTCTATCAGGTTCCTGACTACTTAACAGATGGGAATGCTTCACTATGTTCATCATTAACTGTTGGTGTTGGACAGTTAGTGTGCAGTGACCAAGCACCAGAAACACCACGACAAGAGTGAACCAGAGCATTGAAGCTGCTCCCAAACAAAAACAAGGACTTAAAATAGTTTAAAAAAAAAAAAAAAAAACCTTGTAAATCTGAGGGAAACTGCAGAGTCAGGTGGTACTTCTGTGTGTTTATTGCAAGTGGGTGAGCCTTTTTTGAATACTTTATCTATTAATATTATAATATTAGTGAGTGTGGCTTTAATCAGATTTCATCAGCTTTTATAATTTTTTTTCGCCCCTGGCTTTGCAAAGTTCTTTTGTTAACACTTTTGTGGATTTCCTTTTTGACAATATGCCCTCGTCCCTCCTCTGCTTCTATTTTCTGATTTCCCAGAATGCTTTGTGCTCCGCTCACACAATGCGCTTCAGTATGCAGCACTCGTTTAGCGGTGGGATTTGTGTGTCAGTGCAGAGACTGAAGGCAGAGATTTTCCAGTCTGGAAAAACTGAGCACTGCCCCTTCCTCAAATTGCACAATCAGTGGAAAAAAGTCTATCTGTAGCTCTTCTAAGATGAATTGCTCTCTATATGTTTGTGTCTGTTTAAAATGGTGGACTTAAAAAGAATCTCACTACTCGTCAGAAGAACTCATGGCAGATGTTTGTTATCGATCCTGCTGCTGAAATCCCATTGCTGTTGCTCCACAATGATTCTGTTGCTATTTTTACCAGCGTTGATCTATGAAGGAGATTTTTTCCTTTTAAAGTCAAACTAACGGAGGCTTCCTTTTTATTAGCAGAATCCTGACATTTAAAGAGTGACGAGAAACAACTCTTTACTGTTAATGAGAACGGGACTTCACTTCAAAGCCACCTTAGGATGGAATTTTTCAAGTCAGTGAGCATTTTCTTTCCATGAACCATAAAACTGCTGAATAACTACACGATGAAGTATCTCACTCCTACCTCAAGCCCTCGATGACTTCAAACTGAAGCAGACGTTCTTTAATGCGGCCCGTCTCGCGAGGCGGGGAGCCCAGGAGCTCGATGACCGTTACGTGTCGCAGGTCTAGTCCACAGTCTGATTTCTGGTGGAAGCAAGAAGGGCAGTTTTGGAGGCTGTTCAACTTCTATAGAAACTTTTTGGGGAGATCAAGTGAAGTGTTTCTTACTTGGATCATGACGTTCTGCAGCTGGTAGTCTGGGTCAGATATGTTGGGTGCAGACATGATCAGCAGCCTCCTCTTTTCATAGAACTGATCCAGAAGAGCAGAGACCGTCTTTACATCGGATTTAATCTCCATTGCTACAAACACAAGGCCACAGTTACATCCTGCATTTATACACCCCTACATGTGCTCATGCAGACTGTTATGTGTACAGTAAGTCAGTGGTAGCTAAGTACTGTGTTTTAATACAGTATTGAGGTACTTGTACTTTATACCTTTATTATTTATACCTACTAGTTACTTTTTGAATTACAACATAACTTAAAAACAGGTTTATAAATTATAATGTTTGTGAAGATTAATCCAGTGGTTTCCAGCTTTGTGTGTTTATAATAAGTTGTGTAACCGGGGCTCCTTATCACAGGATTCAGATGACACCAAGTAGAGATTTTCTCTCTAAACTTTCTGCATAGATTAATTTAAATGACTAATGGAGTCCCAAAGATGTAAAATTATCCAATTCTTCATAGAGAAAGAAAACACAACAGAGAAGAGGGTCATTTACTCTATTAATTAACTCGCAACTCCTCAGATTTATCTTGTGAGTTGGGAATCACATGACTGAACTACCTATGTAGAATAGCTGTTCCACCTCAACCGGCTACAACAGCAAATATCTGATCATATGTAATAATCAGCCACAAAAGGCCAACTACTTTTCCTTTTGATGATTTAAGTACATTTTGCGCATAATAGGTAGGTACTTCTGATCATTGTGGAGGCAAAACTCTGATTAGTTGAGCCGTGAGAGGACAACAAGTGCCCTTTTTTCTGCCTTTGCTTCACTGAGCAGCAGTCTCCTCCTCTTTTGTACTGATTCTTGTACCGGTGTTGAACGGTGCTCTCAGGTGTGTTCAGACGCATTACTCACGAACACACTCAGCAGGGGATCCGCCCCAGTTGCGGTTGAACTGGCAGACACGACTAGACACCCCCTTTAGTTCATATCCTCCATCACAGTGGTATTCACATGTTGCGCCATAGTTGTTCCCATCCGAGGAGCAGCTGAGGTACCCATACATAGGTGGAGGTAGTACTGGACATCTTCTCACTGGATAGAGAATAGAAATACAGAAGATCCAATGTGCCCTCCTTTAAGCTTCAGGTTAAATTGTTGTATTTAAACTCATTTCATCACTCAGAACTCGAGGACTGGCAGCTTACCCTCGACACGTACAATAAACTTGCAGGCGGCTCTGTTCCTGGCTTGATCGTACACTTTATATCGGATAATGTTTGCTCCCTCTTTAAAGTCTGTGTCTGGCTGCTGGCCCACTAATATCACACTGCGGAGAGAGGGGTAAAGGCCAAATGTTTAATTTCATTTAAAAGCGAACAGTGAAGGGCGGCAAAGGAAAGGAGTGGCATACTCGAGTGATTTGTCAGCGGTATCGGTGGCAGCCGGAGGGTCCCAGGTGACCCTGGCAGTGAGCTTTCCAGGCTCGGCGACCTTGAGTCTGGACGGAGGACACTTGATCTTTGGCGGATCAGTATCTGAAATAAACAGATGGAAACCCAAAAACAATACTGGCCACATTAGAGGAAGGGATGGAAACTGGCACGAAGGGAAACATCTTTTTATAATAGTTTCACAGTTATTAAGAGCAGAATTCTGAAAGACAAAGGAGTTTGGATTCGGTCCAAAAAGCAGAGGAGCAGGAAATATGCTTGTTATTGTGAGACTTGAGTGAGTGGACACATGGGGAGGCGGTCTTGTGAAAGAATGATGGAAAGCTAGACACCAGTGCAGATGGACTGAATTTAACCTCACGCTGTTGCAGTAAGTTAAAGCTGCAGTTGACAGATAAAAACTTTTGAAATGGGACATCTGGTCAGCTCTACTCACCTGAACACTCCGGCTGCACTCCGCTCCACGAGCCCCCGTGCTGGCAGGTGCGTGAGTGCTCCCCCTCAATGCGATAGCCAGGAGCACATGTGAAGTCACACCTGGAGTCCACCACGAAGCCTTGAGTGCAGCTGTATCTGCCGTGAGAAATAATGGGCAGCACATGGCAACGCATCCCTGAAGAAAAACATTGAGAGAAGGTCGAAACAGTCACACACTTAATAAACAGTGTAAAGAGTAATTACAACCAGGGAAATAATTACAAAACGCCATTTGTACCAACAAGTCTAGCAGTGTGTTGGTCCACATCGTAACTTTGCAAACTCTCCCACTGAAGAAACACATCTTTAAAAGCTGGTCGTGAATGAATTCCTTTCTATGAGAAGGAGCAGTGCAGTTGATGGGGAATACATTCAGCAGCAGATTAGAACAGATTTATTGCACCAGTGAGTAAATAAAGTTTTACAGTGTTTATGTTAATAAGGGAATGTGTGATTCAGTGCAGAAATGCAGTAATTGATGTGTTCTTATAGTTTATTGGTGACAATGTGAGTTTACAATAAGCCATATTAGGCTTTGGAAACTTGTTAGTCTTCTCGTGGGATTTGTTGAATATAAGAAAATGTAGATTATCGCCTAATTTATCCTCACATAGGAATTTATAATCTCTACATACTGCGGCAGTAAGCAGTCCCAGACCAGCGGCGGTTGGGGAGGCACTGGATCGAGCTCCTTCCCATCAGCCGGTATCCTCGATCGCATCTCATCTCACAGCGGGTGCCCAAGGTGCTCCTGTGGGCCCCACCTCGAGGGGAGCGGCAGGTCACCTCGCCATTAGTCAGACCCGGAGAGTGACACCAGTAAGGGTCTGTTTTAAAAAAGAGACCAAATCTGTGTGAAGCACTACTGGTGGAAAGTAGCACCTAGAAACTTTCCTTTATATATAAACATATGTAAAACATAAATAGAAACATTACAATAAAGTTTCCAAATATGGTTTATCCATCTAAATTATTATTAATGATTTGTATCGGCTCCGTCAATCCCTTGTATTGATTAACTTTGTTAGAGTTAATGGTTTTAGGTTAAACATACTGTCACACTTGCAATTCATAGATACGACTTAATAGTTTAAACATCTCTCTTTTTTTTGTTCTTCAAGACGTTTCACTTCTAATCCAAGAGGCTTCCTCAGTTCTGACTTACAGGTTGGGATTCCCAGGAATTTATTCTCACCACTAATACACATGGCTGATGGCCCGTTAACAACCTTAAGACTCACATGCCTGGAGGTCTGAATGATTAGACTGCCAGGTGAGACATGAGTCAAGGTGGTGAAACTTTCTGAAAGGGGATCTCAAGGCTGCATTGTAAGTGTCTGATAGGTGGTATGTCATAGATCCCCTCCACTGTTTAGAGAAGGCTGTTTCAGTTTAACATGAACTGGCTTTCATTTCTCCTAAACCATCTGTCTTCTCTGTCTCCAGTGTTGGCATTGCTGCACTTAATGAAGTGTCTCATAAGTTGCCATGTGCTGGTTGAGTGGTTGTTTAGTCTCCTCTGTATATAGGTCTGTGCGCTCCTGGCTGTGTTGTACTGCACATTAATTCTTGAGACTTCCAATCAGTCAGTTACAACTGAGGAAGCCTCTTGGATGAGAGGTGAAATATTTTCAAGAAAGAAATGGGTGCCTTCTACTGAAGAACTTGGGAGTACCATGACCTGGATGACTGAGAATCTACACAGACATTTAAGCAACAAATCAATCAGTATCATACAGATCCTCAGACACACATCTCTCATCTGTCTTGTTTCCATAAAAAACAAATAGAGGCCTTCTTGCAAAGCTACACGCCTATGAGTGAAAAGACAAAATCTATAACTGTGAAGGTATATTTTGTCATGCGGCCCACCCCCAGTGAGCGTCTGTTTTCCATACGCACTTTTGTAGTCCAGCTGAGGAGTGTCATCTTCCTCTACAAACTCATTGTAGCTGTCATACACCGTGGTCCCAGAGCCAGCTGAAACAAAGAGACGGACATGTAGAAACACCAAACAAACCTTTTACGTGTTTTATATCACCACACCGCTGGTTCACTGGGAGGTAAACTATCATGGTTAAAGCACACAGTATGTAGGTCAAACAGAGGCAGGCAGACATGCGATGATTCTCCACACTCGAGTCCCATTTCCACAGCTTCCTCTCAGGCTTCCTTTAACAGAAGTCCAATAACATTCCAGTCTATAAAACACCTGGATTTGCAATCAGGCACTCTAATGGAAACTCCTGAGAGTTTTTAAACCTGCAAGCAGAATCAGAAAAATTTTGCAAAAAGATCATGTTGTTGTCTTGGAGAAATGTAAAGAAAGGTTTGAGAACACATGGCAGAGTTTGTATTGTGGGGCTTCTGGTCTTCATTATGTTCTGAAGCTTTTACAACACAACGAAGGCCACACATTAGGACTAACAGCATGTTTTCATTACTCACTTGGAGTTTGTGCTTCCTACTCATCACTTGCCACGTTAAAAGCAGCATGGCTTGTGTAGCGTATTTTCTGCACGATAAATCAATTTCACTGTTATCCTCCTCTCTCTGCAGTCGCTGTTCGGGCACATTATCCCCTTTCGAAATCCCGAAAATGACTCCGTGTTTAAAGATGAGTGCCAAACTTTCCAGCCTGTCAACCTCCACCCCCATCTCAACTCGGCTCCCCTTGCTTCAGTTGTCTCTCTTTTCTGGCACCCTTTGGCTCAGTCAAAACAAAGTTGACTATAACACCTATTATCCTGTTAATAATGATGCATCACATTCAGCTTCTCTGGACGCTGCTCCAAATTGTTCCAGAGATGTTTGGATTAAACCGGTCGTCAGCACTTTTCTCATAATGAGCTCAATGTTCCACTCAGTGACGCTTCCCCAGACTAATATTTCCCCCCTCACAGAGAATTAGTCACACAGCAAATAAACACATTAAGCTCGAGGCACTGCGGGGCCGGAGCAGAGACAGACATTACTTCAGGTGACATGCACCATCACGCATGTGGCAATAAAATTATGTATTTTTAATTACAGACTGGTGAAAGTACTGCAGTGCTGTAAAATGCCTCCTATACTTAAGTGCAATTTTGAGATCCTTGTGTTTTACTTGTGTATTTACATGCTGTGCTCTACTTCTGCTTCACTACATTTATCTGACAGCTGTACTAGTTGTTTTGTTGCCTTTAAACCTGTGGATTTGACCTGTGAATCATTAGTTCATCTGCTTATTACTTATTCAATGAAGAGTTTATGTTTAAATTTAAGAAACTAGTTATAATTTGTATGTTATAAACCCAAATGTGTTCAGTTTCCCATCAAGTGTGATAAAAAAAAAAAAGCTCAAATACATAGAATCAGCAAATATTGGGCTTAAAAGTACTATTGTATGATTTTCAAAACAAAAGGATCTAAATACTGGCCCTTGACAACTGAGGGTGCAGAATACCTCGACACTGACACACACCGTGCATCACACACCACTCGCTTTACCGCAGAGACGTGCACAAACTGCAGGCAGAGCGAGTCCATGCAGCAGGGATGAGTCACACCACAAGAAGCCTGTTTGAGGCTTCATTTATCTCTAATGACAAAGCCGAGACAACGACCACCGTCCCTTCAATCACTCCACACTATCACCTCGGTTCATGCGTGCTCCTGGGAGGATCTGGGGTCACGTTGTTATCTTGCAGGATTAAACGAAGGCTTCAGCGCACTGGGCCCAGAGGGGGACTCCTCAGTAATTAACTGGCCGTGATTGGAGCCGAGCTGTAATTAAACTGCCTGGTCAGCGCCGCTCAGAGGAGCGCCCGAAGAGAAGGGGACAGGCTGCTTGGCTCATTTTAAATTCATCTCCACTGGATTTTGGCCAGTTGCATGCTGGGAGATGTTGTGGAGGAGCGGGCTCCATCTGCATTCATCCAGTCACCTCAAAAATTCAGCACATCTGCATCTAATATAAATGTTATTACGGCTGAGATGAAGGTATTTCCCAGCTGCAGGGACGGAAGACGAGCGTTTGAGTCATTTGAACTTTCTCCAGAAACCAAACATGATTCTCATCTATTTCATATTTCCATTTTCATTATGATTTACAATCAAGCAGCAGTGAATGTTACTAAGTTCACTTTCTTAGGCACTGTACTTGATTATCAGGATTTTACCGTAGGAGCTTGTGAAATATGATGCATTGTTATAGATAAATCCACCAAATATCAAATTAGAGCAGAAATAATTGACTAATTTACAGAAAATTAATCTGCACCTATTCAAGTTGTTTGTCACTTATCAAAGATTTCATGGTTTCACCTTCTTATAAGTGAGAATTAGCTGCTTTTCTCACAGTAAACTGAATAATTTGGCGCTTGGAGGATGTCACTTTGAGCTCTGAGGAACTGTGATGACATTTCTCACTATGTTTGGGATTTTTACAGATCACACTGAATCAGCAGATTGATCAATAAAACACAAATATATTTTTAGTTGCAGGCTTTGTTTAACTTTAAACAACCATCTGTACTATAATGCTGTTTGCACTTTAATATTCATATTTTGTCATATAACATTAGAACAAGCCATTTGTCTGCATTGAGAACTTTCATGCTTCGACTCAGAACGGGATGCTTTTACTTTCTTGCATTAGGAGCTACTTTCTCTTGATCAAACAGCCTGTTTTTGTTACTCCTGGAATCCAATTTTAAGCAATAAAATCAGAGTTCACACACAGATAAATAAAATGATATTTGTCTACTCATGAACTCACCTGTGAGGAATAAGATGAACACAGCAACAGAGCAGCTGAACAACATGTCAGAAGCACAAAGATGACACTCCTGGACGCAAAGAAAGAAAGAAAGAAAAAAAGTTTTCCGTGGAGTTTGGCTCCCAGAGACCAACACCAAAGGAAAAAGTAGTACAACCCAGGGAAGGTTCACAACTAGTGTGACCAAACACCTTTTAAAATCCTGGACTGAATAATCCTCACTGAGGACAACAAGCTCAGCCGTCCCACCAGAGTCTCCGCAGTTATTGTGAAGTGAGGATCTTTCCAGTTGATCTTCGAAACACAAAACCACTTGGTGGCACCAACGGACTTCTGCTGTCAGTGTGTTTCCTCCTACTGCTGCATTAAACATGATGATACTAACTCCACCCCTTAAAATAAGTCCTGGGAAGTGAAAGTTATTATAGAATACAAATTAAACACTACACTGAATTTACCTTCTGTGTAGCATGTCAGTGCTTATGAAACCTTATTTCAGAAATGCTTTTGGTCTGATAATGTTATTAGACTGCAATAATGTCACACTGTATGTCTCACTTGTACAGTAGGTTGGTTTTCAAAGACAAGCTGACAAAGTATGTGCTGCAAATACAAAAAAAAAACCCCTCAAGACTTGGTTGTACTATTTCTATCTCCTACTTACAGCAATTAACACAACTTGCTGATTTTGTTTTGAAAGAGTTATCACATGTATTTTGGTTGGAAAATGTCCCACAAGAAATTCTATTGCTGTAAACCATTAATCAGAAACTGATTTTGTCTTTTTAAAAAATCAGCAGTTAAAATGAGCACCTTATTGTGATAATTTTATTTTATGCAGCTGATGTAATTCAAACCAAACTCACAACTGTGTCACATCAGCAGAGCACAAAGTCAGATTACATGAAAACAGCACCGCAGCTGCCAAAATAAAAGCACAGATTGGGAAAAGCACAAGACCTGTTGGCTTTTTTTGTAGTTCTTGAAACGTGCATTCACACAACAGACATTAGGAATACTCATGATACAAACATTGTGAGTCATATTAAAAGACTAGTTACTAAGCAAGACACTGTCACTGTGAGCCTGAGTCACTGGCTCCACTTAGACTTCAATTTTTAGTGATTTTAACTTCAAACTCTGAACCAGGGCTTACCTTTGGATTTTCCCAGTAACTCCTTATTATCAGTTAATCTGCTCATTACTTTCTCGATCAGATTTGGGTCAAACTAAAACTAAAAACTAAAAAGCTTAATCATATTAAAACCCTTATTTTAAAAAAAAAAAAAAAAAAAAAAACTTTTTCTGTAGTTCTTGAAAGGAGCTATCACACATTGTAAACCACAGGAAGAGAACACTTTGCTACTAAATAACTAAATAAAAGATTATTATCAGGCTCTAAAATTAACATTATTAGCCTACTGCTGCTATTAAGTTGCTTTAAATTTAACTCATTGTTATGAGACGGAAAGAGAAACTACTGACAGTTTAATTCAGAATTATGAGACGATAAGTCAACTTTATGTAACTGATATCACTTCAGCTTCAGTCATTTCATCTCATTAGTTTGCATGTTGAATTAAACATTGAGTTTTAAGTATCCAGCAAAAAGATCATTTTCATCATATTTGTAGCCTTTTTGAAGTTTTCCTGGAGCTCTTTAAAGTAACAATCATGTAGATGACCACTGAAGAAAAGGCAGATAAACTGTTATGAGTAACAACGACACAAAGATAATAAATTAATACAGGAATACTTTGTCTACTAAAGAAGACATTATTGTTGTAATAGATAAAATACTGGGAATATGTTGGGAAGATTTCTTACTAAGTAAGAGAATCATTTGGTTACTACTTTATCGATTTTACTTTGACTTTGGTTTTCAACAATTCTGACTCAGTACTTGTTCTTACTTGAAGAAACAGTCAATAGTTTTAGCTTTCCAAACAGGAAGTCTAAGCATTTTACCATACTTATAACCATTTTCTGTGTTTCTTGAAAGTGACAAACATACAGGTGGCTGACGGGGAAAACCATGGAGGAAATGTCAGGAATAACAGAACTGATGCAAACGTGACTGTTATGAGACATCGCTATTATAATCATGATTCATGCAGGGCAGAAAATTAGTCAGCTTTTGACTCAGTAGTTTGGATTTGGAAATAAACAGACAAGAGTTTTAGCTTTCCAGCAAATGATTGTGCAATATGGAGAACAAAAAACTAATAAATTAAAAATAATACACCGCTTAATCCTCACGAGGGTCACGGGGGGGCTGGAGTCTATCCATCAGGGTGAAGGCAGGACATCCTGGACAGGTCACCAGTCTATCACAGGGCTACACTTAGAGACAGACAACCAAGCACACTCACATTCACACCTACAGAGAAGTTAGAATCACCAATTAACCTCAACATGTTTTTGGACTGTGTGGGAGGAAGAACCCACGCTGCACAGGGGGAACATGCAAACTCCACCCAGAAAGATCCCAGGCCAAGGGTTCAAGGAATCAGGGATCTTCTAGCTGTGAGGCGACGGTGCTATTCAACGAGTCACCGTGCGGCCCACATATATATATATATATATAGTTTTGTGTGTGTGTGTGTCTGTGTGTGTGATATGTGTACATATCCAATTGTAAATTCACCATGTCATAGCTGTACTTTTCCATACATATATATATTGATCATGACCTGCCGTCCACATACATGGGCATCACATTTTGGGTTATTTTATCACAGTAGTTAATTTTTTTTTAATTGTTTTTATTTTTATTATTTTATCATGATTTTAATTTTATTGTTGCTGTTTATTGTTATTTTTTTTTTAAATATCTTTTAAATATGTCTTAAAATATTTTTTCTTTTCTTTATAATTTCATATTTTGTTTGGTATTTTTATTAGATCAAATAGCAAAGAGACATAAAAAATGCATATCAAACAAGAGCTCGGGTCTTAAGAGGTTATATCTTTATCTTTATTTTGTATTTGTCTACTGCACTTTTGTGATTTCTTGTCCTGCTTCTTTCATGCCTCAGTGAGGGAACAGTAAAGTTTATATTATTATACATAGAGAGGATTTTTATAAATAAAAAGCTATTTTTAAAAAAAGATTTTCATCAAATAATTGTGAACATTATTATTATTATTATTATTATTATTATTATTATTATTATTATTATTATTATTACTGTTATTACTGTTATTAATAATGATAAAGTTTTTTAAAATGCTCTTTGTTGTTTTTCTTTTTCTTTCTGTTTTTGTTTTTTTCCCACTAACTTCTCTCTCCTAACTTTTCCGCTCAGTCTGTGTCTGCTCTGGTGCAGCAGGACTCGGGTCTGGCTGACTAATCGTGGTAAACCTCCCTCGGCCTCCTCCACAGGCAGCTCTGCGGTTCCAGGTGTTTATTGTGGCAGCTCTTCCTGACTCTGCTGCTGCTGCCTGACGCTGCTTGACGCTCCGGAGCCTGTTGATCCTTCAGGAAAGTGAATTTTTCGAGTGACGACACTTCCCCTCTCTGCTCGGCTTATCCTGGACCTCTCGGCTCTCTCCGCTCCGGGACGCTGCCAAGTGAACTTTTCTCTGTGTTTTGGGCTCCGAAGTGGAAGCGCAGCATGTCGCCGCCGTCTCGACGGCTTCAGACGAAGCCGGTGATCACCTGCCTGAAGACCTTCCTCATCTCCTACAGCCTCATTTTCTGGGTGAGTGTCGGGCTGTAATGGGGGACAACGGGCTCTGAAAGCAGCAACAATGGGCTCAAAGCGGCGCCGCTGCCAACGAGGCGAAACACGGCGCCTCGTTAAATCACAGCTCCAGTTAGATATGTGGAACAAAAATGTCCCTAAGTCGGACTGAGGCTGGTTTTGTTGTGGTTTTTACACCGACGACCACTTGTTGGAAACCCAGCGACCGTTGGAGATGTTGAGGCGGATTGTTGTTGAGTTTATCACCGAGTGGCTCCGCTGTTAGCCGGCAGCAAAACACCCAACAAGCTAGTTTACCAGTAAATACACATGATTTAGGCAGGAGGGAGACACAGGACAGGTCCATGTCATCAGTACAGGTCCATGTCATCAGTACTGCTCAGTTCAGATACGGTCAGATGCAACGAGCAGTCGATTAATCGATTAACGACAACAAACACGACTGTAGCAGGCAGCTGCTGTAGAGTTATACTCAACTTATCTGTCTCTACAGCTGTCTAGTCTGCTTTTAATTTAATCACCAGCTACTTTGATGATCGAATATTCAGTTGGAGTCATTTTTAAAAGAAAAAGTCCAGAATCTCTGATTGCAGCTTCTAAACTGTGAAAATGTTGTTTTCTGTGTGACAGTAAACTGAATGTCTTTCAGCTGTGATCCAACATGGTGGTGATCTTTATAATCAGGTTAATTATCCTCAGAGCTCCAATAATTATTTCATTAGTTGTCTCTTATTAAATTAATCACCTTTCATTTTTGATAATTGATCGATCAGTTTGAGTTTTGTAAAAGCTGCAACAAGCAGTCAGTGCATCAATTAATGTCAACAAGGGGATTATTTCTATTATCAAGTTTTTTAACTCTAGAGTTGCAATGAATGATATTAAGTTCATCGCCATCTAGTTTTAATAATCAATTTAATCGGTTTGAGTAACTTTAAAATAAATCAGAAGAACAAAGATGACAAAACAAGTTTATGGCTATTTTGAAAATGTAGTTTTTAATTTGTCTAATATCAAATTATTTTTGAGAATCGATTAACGGGTTTGACTAATGTAATAGTTAAAGCTGCCAGAAGCAGTCGATGCCACGACTAATGATAAAAAAAATCATCTGTGCCAGCAGCAATGGGGGTCATTTTTATTATTAGGTTATTCATCCTTAGAGCTGCAATGACTAATCTTTTGGTTGTCCGCTTTGAACTGAATCTCTGGTTGTTTGATGATCAGTTGGTCTGTTTCAGTTCTGTACCACGAACAAGCTTCATCAAGCAGTTCAGTAATTCATTAATGACAACAAATATTGTATACAGGCACATTTGGTGGCTTTTTAAATTATTTATGACTGGAGTTGCAGCAATTAATCTATGTGTTAGCTGTGACATTAACCACCAACTGTTTTGATAATTGATCAATTGATTTGTGTGATTTTTTTTTTTTTTTTTTAAACTAGTCTAAATTCTCTTAATTGAGTTTCTAAGATTGCCAGACATTTTTCTGTGTTGTTTTCTCCTCTGTGACAGTAAACTGAATATCTTTACGTTGTGGACAAAACAAGACATTTGAGGACGTCATCTTGGACTTTTCCAAACACTGATTCACGTTTCACGATCTTGTCACACTTTCTAGACCAGTTGGTTTACAACTAATCAACTAGTTAATCGCCAACTATTTTGACGATTAGTTGGTTCATTTTATCATGAAAAAAAGTCTAATTTCACTGATTCCATGTAAATAACAGGACAAAAGACCAAATAACTAAAAAAGATTCAGCTCCACTATAGCACTGCATTAAACAACTTAATTATTCAGTACATTTATTTTCTCTGATTAATCATTTCATACTATGTTCTAATGACTGATAAAACAGTAACGAAACCATAGAATAGCAACCTGCAATGAGAACATTTTGGCCTAAAATAAATAATAGAGTTTGATTGAATTAATTTTCTACTTTCAAAAAATAAAATCTTAATTTGATACTAATTTTAGGGAATTTTCTTTTTGAGAAAGTGATTTTAAAGTAGGTTTAAGGATTTTAACATAAGAATTACAAGAATGGCTAATAGTGATTTGTGTGACAGACATTGTGATTTGATTGAATACTTTAAAGTGACGCCTCAGTTCAGTATTTACTATGTAGCAGACAGACGGAGACACAGTGACTTTATCAAACCATTGACACAACATGAAACAAGGCTCTACAGCATCTGAGCCAGACTGCACAATACAACATGTAATATTGGGTAAAATATAAAATGTAAAGCAACATTTTTAAATTATTCAAATGTATTGTTCAAACCCAAAATCTTTTAGTTTATTATCATATAAGAGAAAGTCAGTCGTCCTCACATTTGAGGAGGAAAGACGACAGATTGTTTGTTTGTAAGATTAATCAGCTGTTTTTCTGTTATTTTATTGGACTCATCAGTTAGTCAGTGGGTTTCTTTTTTATGTATAACAGTAAACTGAATATATTTTGGAGTCCGGACTGTTGTTCTAATGAAACAAATGATTTAAATCCATGACCTGTAGTGAACACTTGATTTCACTGTTTCCTCATGTTGTTCTCATAACGATTAATAGAGAAAACAATCGCTAGGATAAAACCAATGATGAGCTTCACCCTCATTTACACGCAGCATATGCTTACTTACAGAAAATAAACATTGTCCTCAGAAGAAAATGGACCCTTATCGTTGCTCTTCCTGTTAATCTTTGTACCGAGCAAACAGCCATCTCAGGCTGCCGCTGACATAAAGTTCAGGTCTGTGCTTTTATCTGGCAATTTATTGCTGTTGGCTGGTTGAGCTGATGCCTCCCTGCAGGCTAATGACTTGTGTGGGGAGAGTTAAAGGAAAAGATGCTGAGATAATTGAACCACAGGCTGAAGCCGGAGTTGTATCCCTGATGTGTTTTTATGAAAAAACACTGACAGGTATAAATAAATAATACGCCGCATATTTATCACGTCTTGTGACTGACATGAGTGGAAGAAGAGCTTATCAAATAAAGGAGGTTATATCCTGTTTGTCTCGATACACGTCTTGTCTCAGACACCATCTCCCCTCCAGCTCATCTGCATTTGCTCCCCCGGGAACAGTCGAGATGTAATAAAGGAAATCAATAAGGGAAATTGTGTTTTTTCCTGGATTTGGCTCGTTGTGGATCTTAAGTAAAAGTGTCTGTGATGTTTGTCAGATTCGGTGCAGATCTTGGGTCCGTCTGAGCGGCTATGCAGTAACACTTGGTATTTCTAGAGCAAAAATAATAACGCCTGCAGAGGCTGTCCCTCAAACATGATGGAAGATCTCAGCTGGTGTCAACGGTTGGGTTCGCATTAATCAGACAACTACTTTCCTAATTTAGTTGATAGTTGGTCTCTTAAATCTCAGAGAATCGTCAGAAATGTGTTCAAAATACACCAAATATTCACTTTTAATGTCAGTTGTGATGAAGCAAAGCGTGATGTCTCAAGGACCTGAAACCAGCAAGTGCTCAGCATTTCCTGCTTAAAAAAGGATTTGATCAGTGATGGGGGCTGATTTTCTGGCTTGCATAAATCAGACAGGGCTTTCAACTCCATTTTTGTTATTGTTCAGTCTGTTGATTGTTTTCAAAATGCATTTCTGGTTGCACGAAACTGTGAGAAGATCATGAAAAGTTTCCAGAGTCAGCAGTTGTTGTTGTTGTTATTTTTGTGCTCCCAATATTTAGAGTTAATATGACATTGGACCAAAATAATCACACTTGGAAGCATGTTTGCTCCGGATTACATTTCTTTTATTTAAAGGCCAAATCTTATACTTTATATTCGACAGAGTGGACGTGAACCTGAATAGCACATTATTAAACTGTGAAGGAAACCTTGATTTAGTTGTCTTAATATATATCTTCAACTATCATCTGTTGACATGACAGAACTTCTAAATATTCTCTGTAGATTCAACAACAAAATAAGAGGATTCACGGTGACCGTAGCGGTGACTAACTGACCTGATGATTATGAGCCTTTAATTTTCGGTTTGGTGACGGTCACAGCCCTAAAAAGCCCTGCTCGTCTTCCTCTGTGGCTCTTTGATGCCGCTCGCTGACTCGCCCTGCTGTCGTGTTCAGTTCACAGGCGTGATCCTGCTGGCCGTCGGGGTGTGGGGGAAGGTGAGCCTGGAGGCCTACATCACCCTGGCTTCTGAGGAGAGCACCAACGCGCCATATGTCCTAATTGGGACCGGAGCCACCATCGTTATTTTCGGACTGTTCGGATGCTTCGCTACATGCCGTGGCAGCCCATGGATGCTGAAACTGGTCGGTGAAGGAGCACTTGGAAATAATCCCTCTCAGATGTGACCTTGTGTAACTGTTTTCTTCTCTTGTTGCTTCAGTATGCCATGTTTTTGACCTTGGTGTTCCTGGCTGAGCTGGTGGCCGGAGTCTCGGGCTTCATCTTCAGGCATGAGGTGAGGTTCAAAGCGTTGAATATTTTTTGAAAACTGACTTTGATTAGATTGTTAAAATGTGTAATCAACTTTGTGCTTAATTCTCCAGATCAAGGCCAAATTAGGCAGTGCCTATAAGAACGCTGTGAAGTCCTACAACAGCACCGACAGCAGCAGCTCTGCAGTCGACGCCATCCAGAGGACTGTGAGTGGAAGCTTCTCCGTTATACTAATGATGTCTCTGCTGTCTAACGTTGTTGTGTCAATCGTAGTAAACCAAAGGACTCCTGTTTAACATAACATTCTAACACTGCACAGCTATGGCTACAATGCAGGATTACACAGTCGTAGCATTAATCGTAGGGAAAAAAAAAAGCTAAACTTAAGCTGCGTTTCTTTCATTTTTCATTTTACAAAAAATTGCAAAAACATGGAATCAACATTTTTTTCCACATGCCAGAAGGTGTTACCAAAAACTTTTCATGCTATAGATATTTTGCTGCTTATCTTTTTTTTCTTGTTTCAGCACTTCTCTCATATCTGCTCTCAGTTTAAAGTTCAGCCTAAAAGTCTCTGAATGTTTGTCACAGTTGACGCTCTCATGGTTTCACAGTTCCACCAAGCAGTGCAGAATAATTCGTTTTTTTCAGAATGCAGCTATTGCACCTGGTTTATTTGTTTATTCTTATGGAGAGACGTAGAATAATGATTTAGACGACATATCTTGATGGTTTTTGAGCGTTTCCAATGAGAGGGCACAACACAGAGGAATGTTTCAGTGACCATCGTAAAGCCAAAAAAAATCTAATTATTGAGTCTGTTCTTTAAAAAATTGCACACCTTTGAAAGCTGCAGGTGGTTTTTGGGTCTCAGAGGGTTAAACTGAACCTCAGAGAGAATGGAAGCGGCGCAGCGACGCTCTCGTTCAGGCATGTTGCTGTCGTCGCTGCAGCTGTTTTCCAAATAGGGGAATCCAAAACATCTGCAGTGACATCACCCATTGTGTGGTGGCGAAAAACCCATCATCCAGCTGTTCCCCCTCATTCTGTAAAACAAACCTTTTCTTCTTGCATAAGGAAAGTCGTGACAACTTAGTGTGCGTTTTGTGTTTTTTCCATGTAGCTGCACTGCTGCGGAGTGAAAAATTACACCGACTGGAGCGAGACGGCTTACTTTAAAGAGCACGGCGTCCCTACCAGCTGCTGTAAGCCCAGCGCCGACTGCTCAAGTGAGAACCTGAAAGACCTTGACAAGGCTGGGAAAGAAGTGTACACGACGGTGAGTTTAGATCACATCGTCCAGCAGGGTGTGTAGAAAACTGGAAACGTCCCTTTACAAGTGTGTGTTCTTGTGTTGTGTAGGGCTGCTTCGCGCTGGTGACCACTGTGATGGAGGGAAACCTGGGAATCATCGCTGGGATCTCTTTTGGGATCGCATTCTTCCAGGTATGTCATATATTAGCTTGTAGGTCAACTACGGCTGTTGTAACCTCTCACACACAGAGCTGCAATGAGCATCAACAAGTCGGGTCATTAGTCGTGTTTCTGTAACGTATTTTCATGTGTTTTTAAGTACAGCATCAGAAAAACCATTATGGGAGCTGCAAAATTTTAAGAAAAAAAACTCAACAAACATCCTAGTTACAAGAATGGTTTTAATGCTTGCTTAAAGTTGTTCTTATCTTTGTCAGAAAATCATTATTGCAAATAACCGGAGATGGATACACTTGATGAGGCAAACGTTTAATTAATGTGTGATCAGCTGGTTCAGCTTTTTTTTTTTTTTATTAATTGTTTTCGTCTCCTGATAGCAAGAAACACGTCCAATACCACCTGACATGGAAGACTAATGACAACTTACCCAAAGAAAATACTTTAAGATGTCTCTCTGTTGCTCTCTCATAGATGGGCACAGATTTGTTAGTTTCTTCATCTCCATTAAGTTTTTTTAGCAGCTGGCTCCCAACTGGTTTTCTTTCTGGTTCATGACCTTTACTTCTTCTTCACTGTTTGTTCCAGCCATGCGTAATGTCGCCTCTATCACCAGCGTTATGCGGCCCAATCTATTCCTATCAAAGCACTTAGTTCACATTGTCTTCATAACATTTTTATTTACATTTTCAAAGTTCGCCACAAATTTGCTTGGCAGTGATATGAAAACATGGCTATTCATCGTTTACTCCTCTCCTCTAGCTGTATAAAACAACATGTGCCCACCTATGATGAGTGTATTCAGAGCTTAACAAGATATTTTGAGCTAAACAACAACAGGTTAAGCACAGTAAACACCATGGGTACAGGTGTATACTGACACTCACTCACAGACCAGAGAGCCGGGAGCGCAGGTACAACATCGGTACCGACACAGAAAGCAGCATAAATGTTCTTCTAGTGACTGTCAAAGCTCCGTCAGGCTTCATGTCTTTCTAGCGGTGACACAGAGAGTCTGACAGTAGTTGTTCACCCCTGGTTTACTCTGACTGCTGGCTGCATGTCACTGTCCATGCTGCTGTGAGCAGCGACCAGTTAGCGTGTCGCGCAATATATACCCACAAGGTCACACCTCATACATGTGTTGCTCTTTCACTTCTGTCATTTTTTTGGGGGGGAAATGGAGGCTTCAAACAGGATCTGAATGTGTCGATACCTTTAAAATGAAATTGTTTACATCTATCCAATATCTGGATTTTAAGTCTGAAATTTCTACCTAACATAATGCCCCTAGCACTGTCGCCTCGCAGCAAGAATGTCGCCGGTTCGTGTCCCGGTGGGGGCACCGGGATCTTTCTGTGTGGAGTTTGCATGTTCTCCCCATGCAGTGTGGGTTCTCTCCGGGTTCTCCGGCTTCCTCCCACACGGTCCAAAAACATGTTGAGGTTAATTGGTGATTCTAAATTGTCCGTAGGTGTGAATGTGCTGGTTATCTGTCTCTAAGTGTAGCCCTGTGATAGACTGGTGACCTGTCCAGGGTGTCCCCTGCCTTCACCCTAAATCAGCTGGGATAGACTCCAGCCCCCCTGCGACCCTAGTGAGGATTAAGTGGTGTACAGATAATGGATGGATAATGCCTCCATGTTGTTGATCAATATTTGTCAGAATGTTTTGGCTCACTATAGAGTCAGCTATTAAAGGATAATTTCGCATATTTCAACCTTTTCCATTACACATTTCCTTTATTATACAGATATGAATCATTGTATATCTTTTCTAGTCTGATGGGGGTTCACGGGCTAAACTGTTCTTGCATTTAGCTGTTTAGTTTCCAAACAAAAAGCGTCTAAACAAAGCAGCGTGTGCAGATGCAGGTGATTGGATCAGCCAGCGAGTGTCCTGGTTTTGAGACTCTTAGTGTAGTTTAGCATAAAGGCCTTTCCAGACGGCTAATTTCCATGTTTTATTTCAGTCAGATTGAAAACAAATTTTGAAAATGACTAATGTAGAAATCATTACAGCATTAAGGGAGCTTGTGATGATCGTCCAGATTTTTTTATTCTTTTTTGCGACTCCTTGTTTCCCTGAATCTCTACAACAGAGGTGGAGAGTGTAAAGTAAGTGTGACCCAGAAAGCCACAACCGAGGCAGCACTGGGAAACACTCCAGGCTCAAATCATCGACTATTACTCGTGTAGCGGTGAACGGGAGATTCACAACCTGGATTGTGACAAGACAGTCTCCAGTGTTAGCTGTGATAATTTAAAGATTCACTCATTTGTAGCCTGTCTGAGCACTAATGTGTGTTCTCTGTTCTGGAAATGGTTGAAGAACTATATAATCCATAGTTTTCTACAAGAAGGACAAAGATTAATTTATTGTGTTTTGAGTGGAACTGTGTCCGTGACAACTCTGTATTTTGTGAAACTCATTTCCTCTCAGCTCATTGGGATATTCCTGGCCTGCTGCTTGTCTCGATACATAACCAACAACCAGTATGAGATGGTCTAACAGTCGCCTTCCACAGGTAAGGCTGTTCACGCGCACTGCACAAACTAAATCATGTTTTACACGCATTGGCACAGATTACAAACTCCAGTTGTTCAATAAACTGCAGCTTTGGATGAATGTAAAAGTTCAACAGAGGTGTTGTCTGTTTTCTGTTTGCAGGTCACTGATGGGCAGCTCCTGGTGCAAACCGACTTCACATTTTATTGTTGTGTGTGTGTTAGTTGATATTATTTTAGAGAGGGAAAACACTCGCTGCTTCTTCTTTTATTTGATCTCACCAATGACAAACAAGCAGAAGGGAAACGTACGAAAAGGGGAAATCACAAGGGACGGCTCAGTTTGACCAAAACGAAAAGGGACCCGAGAACGTCGGAGATCATTTGTCACTCCTGGGATCTAATTAGGGAATTTCTGTTAAGCGTAGATGCCAATACATAGTTGTCACTTTTTTTTTTTTCTTTTTTAAACTTTCTTGTCTTGTCTTGCAGCTGCCTTATTTTGTAATTTTTGCTAAAAGTAGTCTGTAGCTGAGCAGATGAATCTAGACAATAAGCTGAGAAAATCATGTGTATCTCTATGTGTTGAAACTCGTACGAGCCTGAGAGACGGACGAGAGGTCGCCACCCTGAAATCAAGATTTTCGTGATTTATGAGTTGTGTGGAAGATGAGCCTTACGGATGGATGTGGGCCAGTACTGTTGACAGCCAGCGTTCATGTGTGCCAACTTTCTAAGACAGTTTCCAGTGTTAAATTGTTACTCTTTTGTGGATGCATGTGAAATACTTGAAAAAAAATAAAGATGAAATCTGTAAACGGCGTGTGCTCTCGGCAGCTCGGGACGTGTCTGTCCTGCAGCTGTCTGCTCCGGTGGCCATCTGAAAATATTCTGGCACAAGTCGATGCTTTGGCAGACAAACGTGCTTCACTTTATGTGGGGCCTCGTGAAGGATCCATACAGGATGCAGGATGTGAAAGGCATTTAGAGATCCAGGGTGGAGGAGAGTGTTTTACATCAGCACAGTAATGAAGGATATATAAGTAACCGCATGTAAATACTGTGTGAAGCTGTTTCAGAGGATGTAAAACTGAAAGAAGAAGTTAATCTATTGTGGGATTAAATAGGAATTTATCATCCACAGGCTCAAAACTTCTTAGTAATTCAGTTTAAGTGTAACATGAGAAAACAGAGGAGCTGGTCTGTCTTGTTATGCTGTATTAGTCACATTCCACCTTAGCTGTGAAAGGAGGGTTGATACCATGAGCTTTGAGAAGGAGTCTGTAGAAGAATACCAATTTATTTTTTTTAAATGCAGAGCTGATGTGTTTTGAGTTGTTAAAAGAGCACATTTGCTAACATACTCAAACCGGGAGCCTGTAAACTAGTTTTTAGTCAGAAGCCGCAGTCTGTGATGTCAGGTTTCATGTCACAGACTGCTGTTTGCATAGTGACGGGAACATTCAAGGTCCGTTTACATGAAGTGTGCAAACCATTCAAGTTGTACTTCCTCTTATAAGCACCAAACATACCTGAGTACTTTGGTAATGTGACAGTATGTATGTTGTATGTTGGCCCAACACATCTCAACATAGTCATGGCCAAATGTAATCGAGCTCCTGGACAGGCCTCAGATTTGTAGCTCATCTGCTTTGTGTTGGAGGAAGGTGCTTGATGGCCAACATGAAATGAAATGAAATATGAATGAAATACACATCAGTGAAACAGGATCTGGGCAGTAAAATATTCTGAAAGCATAGAAAACGGTCTCCAGTCTGCACCATGTGTTGATAACAGTGTAGAAGGTTAATGTTAGCGGTAGACATCTAGTTTTAAGATATTATGTTAATGTAACATCTGAAAAAAGGAAAACACTGTAGATCATTGCAAACATATAAAGCCACATGTGGCTTTTCAGCCTGGATCGGGAGCCAAAAGGTGACAAAAGGAATCTTTTCTGATTAAAACGTTCAATCTGGATCAGATTAACCTGAGTTTTGCGATCCAGGATCAGGTAATAATTTAGTGCCATTTTTTCAGGGTAGCATTAGACTGGAGTCCCCTGATACGATACAAAGGTTTCAAGATGAACAAATTTAGATTATTAGCAATCAAAATGAGATGACATATCAGTGCAGCCTACTAGGTATAAAAAATAGAATCTGAGATGATTGTGTCATAAATAATATACATTCATAAATGTTAAATATCATTTTTAGATAAGTGGGATTATTTTATATGGAAGCTTATTTTTGACTTCACTGTACTAAACACTGAATGGTAGCTTAATGTCTACTTTATTATGATGATGGTTTTGGAATCAAGTGCAAAATATAAATAAATGTATGTTATTTTATGATTTAAATGTTGTAATACATCATCAATTTTAATATTTTATTGAATTTCAATACTGAAATCCGACCTAATTCCAGATCTTTTTGCAGCACAAGTATCCCAATCTTACTTAAAAAAAGAAATCTGACCAACACATACTTATTGGTAGATCCAAATCAAAACAAGGACTTAATATAGTAGATCTAATTCAATTTTAGATTTTAGATTTTTTTGGTCCAACCAATTGTCAAGTTTTGATAAAATCCAAAATAACCTGAATCTGATCACTTTCAAACAACTTGGGGCCCAGAGGATTAACAAGATGTATAAAAAAATTAAATAAAATTGTGCAAGACAAAATTGCCTTTTTTCTAGACTGTTTTCTGTAAATTAATAAATAATTATACATTCACAGCCTTCTAAAAATACTTAAACTGAGAAAAAAACTTTGACTCAAACATACAAAACCATTTTCTTCAGAGCAAACAGTTGAGTAACTCTGGTTTTCTTCAGAAGCGCAGGTGTTGCTGATCTCATTAAAGACGCCTCCAGAGCTCCAACAGCTGATCATCAGTGAACTTTATTTAACACACCTGTGCTCTTCCTGCTACATGCTGCTTACTTTTCCCACATATGCAGACAAACCTTCACACCTCAGTGTGTCTTTGTGGAGCGTTTTCAGCCCAAAAACTAAAAGCATCTGGTAAGACTAACATCTCTTTCACAATAATTAAAGCTCATTGAGAAATTAAGTGCATTATGCTCACAGTAACTTTCGGGTTAATTTGTGTAAAATGATGGCTGAAGGTTCCTGTTCAGAGGAAGTTCAGGTGTTGTGCCATAAGGTGAGTTATTAAAGCGGCATCACCCAGTTTGTATGCAGCTGCTTTATCTGCTCAAACAGTTGTAATGAATACACAGAGCTGTATTCAAGTGGCAAAGTAGAGGAAGTCTTCATGAAATGCTAATGGTTCTTTAACTGAATAATTTTGCCCAAATGAATAGTTGCAGTCGTGTACTATTAGTATTGTTTCTCATGTTTAGGCTGTATGTGTTTGATATAATTAGAAACTTGACAGTAAATAACACAATTTGTAGACTGGTTTTATATGTAAAATACAGAAGTTCTCTTTTGCAGTTATCCTGTGGACTGTAATTGTGAAATATCCCTATGAATGAACTCAAGTCATCTCAATGCATGAATGAGATATCATACACAATGTAGGGGCTGCAGTCACTTTTTGGCAGGTAGAAACTGCATAATTTGTGTTAAGCTGATATTTTAAAGCTGTTTCAGCTGCTAAAAGCTACAACAAATATTACCTGTGAAGTGCAATTGAAAAGTTAATTTGGAAAAACAGAACTCCATCTTCACAAACCTTCAGAAAACTCACTTTTCCATCCTCTACCTGAGACAATATCTATCAAAATTATCTCTATTTTTGCCATGTCATTTTCTAGTCAAATCCAACCAACTTCAGTTTGACTGATATCTCAAACAACAAAAAACAAGTTTTCCAAAACAAAAATATAATAATTATATTCAGTGTTGGAAAAGGTACATTTTTTCCCCCCAATGAAATGGATAACTATAGCTACGAAAAAAAAACATTTCTTCTAAGAAAATGGTGCAAATATATATGAAAATTTAATTAGGTTTTTAAAATTTTATGTATTTCAGGAGACTTTTCTTTCTTTCATAGCAGCACATGTATTTATTCAGGATTTATTTTGTGGTCGTTATTTATTTCTAGGACCATTTCATAAAACTATTCAGTAATGACCTGGGGTGATGAGCAGGTTAAAATAATGCAGACACACGAGGTTAACCAGTTTTTGACAGACGATCACTTTTCAGCACCAGTGTTGTGCTTTAATTAGGAACAATCATGTCTCTGCATTATCTTACCTACTCTGTGTCTTAGTTCAGAACAATCCACTCCTTTTATTGTCACAAATGTTATTTGTGAGGGTAACATTTTCAAAATTGTAGCTCTTAGAATAATTGGTAAAAGATCATTTCTGTGTATGTATATATCCATCTGTAAATCACATAATTGCAGTGGTTATTAGAAATGCCAAATAATTTTTAAAAAAAAAACAAAAAACGCCTGAACATGGGAAACATTTCTACAGCACTGCCTATAATCATCCACACGTCACGCCTGATTAAACTGCAAACGTTAAGGCTTCATAAACACTTTTGCTGTCATCGCAGACATACAGCTTATGTATTTGCAAGTTACGGCTGTTTGATCCAGATGAAAGCAGCTGGAGATGGACACAAACAGGGTGATCGAGTTTTAACAAGAAGAGAGCAATCAGTTTTTGGCACCAATGTTGTGCTTTAATTGGGGAGCAATTATCCTCACACCTCTGAATTATTTTACCTGATTTGTGCCCTAGGTTGTAGCAGTCTTTCATTTTACCTTTAAAGAACCAGTTCAATTCATGTAAAGTGGTTTTCCAGCTGCCGGTAAGTGACCACTGGCCCCTTATTGTGACTGAAAAGTTACTAACGCATCAGAATGACTCTATTTCAGTCATGAGGGTTTAATTTTAACTCGTAGCCCGAACAAGATCATTTCCATACATGCAAGTTCTGACTGTTTGATGCAGATGGAAGCACAAACTGGGTGATCCAGTTTTAACAAGCAGAGTCCAACTTTTTTTTTTTTTGGGTGGCGGATCACTTTTTGGCACAATTGCGCATCTGCGTAAAAGCTCGAGTTGAACCGCCGCAGTCCGAGCAGCAGGTGGCAGCGCTGCACAACAATAGACTGCTGACTGGAGGAAGCGAGTAGAATAAATTCAAACTGGACTAAGTTTATTTGAGCAAACTTTGCGTCGTTATTTCAGAATTAAAATCGTTGTAAAGCGCAAACTCGACAAACCTGACGCGCAACTTGCATTCGCGTTTCCTTGGGGATGGAAACGATGAGCAGTAACCCAGGCTGCAGATAATAGCAGACAAGCCCCGGACAAATACGTCTTGACTGGCAGCCTGTGGTCGTGTGGGATTGGTCTGTTTCGGATCAGATGCTGTGGAGATCCGCCTCCATCCTCCGTGCAGCCAAATCAGCTCGGCTGGAAAACACGGAGAGGGCGGACTTCACCGTCTTCCACCGCCCCGAACCGGCGTGTCTAGTATAAAACCGGAGCTTAGCTGACGCTCAGTTGGGGAAATTTTCACTTTCCTTCCTGGCGGGTGGTGTTCGGTACCTGCGAAGACTTGGTTTATCCACCCGGCACGCCAAACTAAGACTCTCCTCAGGGTACCTCGTGGTTCAGGTCAGTCGGCATCTTTTATTCAAAGCCTCTGACACAGATGTAGTCACCAGGGTTTCAGCAGCTGCAAATCAAGGTCATGTCGGTGTGATTCGGGCATTTTCAATGCGGCAAAAAAAATGAAGGTGATGGTTCCTGTAGTGTAAATGTGTTTGAGGTGGGTCATTTCCTCCCAGAGTTAATCTTGGTGTGCTGAGCAGAGGAACACTGTGTCCTGCAGACAGGTTTGTGTGCTCGGGTTAATTGTGCACACCGATTATATAAAGCTGCCTTCAAAGTACATTTTCTGCAGACTGATCAATCTCTTCCTGCATCCTCCTGCAGATCAGCCACCCTCGTAACAACCACAAGCAGCTCTGCCTTAAAGAACACCAGCCACCCGCCCGTAACCAAGCCCAACCCGGAACAGCCTTCAACATGATGCAGATCAGCAGCGACTCGGCCAGCAACAAGCACTCCCTCATCAACGTCATGCACCGCTTCATAGCAGCAGCCAACAACATGGACGAGACCATCATGGTGCCCAGCCTGCTGCGAGACATGCCGCTGGAGGAGCAGGCAGCCAACCAGGTGGAGGCCAACAACAATAACCACCACCTGGAAGAGCCTTGTCCCAACAAGCAGAGGGACATGTACGAGCACTACCTGCTGCTCAAGTCCATAAAGAACGACATGGAGTGGGGCCTGCTGAAGAGGGAGATGAGCAGCGGCGCCAGCTTCCTGGAGATGGCCGTGAAGCAGGAGGAGCAGCAGCCGGTGACCGGGGAGCTGCCCGTGGACGACAACTCGGACCTGGAGCACCAGTTTCACTATCACCTCAGGGGACTGTTTGGGGTTCTGTCCAAGCTCACGCTGCAGGCAGACCACCTCACCAACAGATACAAGAGAGAGATCGGAGGAGGAAACTTCATGAGATAGAAGTCACCACACTCTTACTCCTCCTCCTCCCTCCCCACTGCTTGACTCGCAAACAATGGGATGTTTTGTGAAGGGGCCACATCTCTTCGAATGAATCTCAATGGACAGTGAACTGACCAGGGCAAACACTCCTGAATAGTGACACTCCAGCTTCTCCCACCAAAATTAAACCAGTGAAACCTGCAGCGTCCCGCCAGCCTGCGTGCATTGGTGGACGCTTTTGTGCTCGGTGGAGGTTTACCCCCCCTCAAAAAATATAGTCCAGATGAAGCACAGCTCTGGTTTATGCAGAATCTTGCCCTCTCATTGTCTTTTCATTTCAAATTTAAACATGAATTTGTCACCAGAGTGTTTGGTTGTGAATAAAATGTTTGACTGTAGGAGATATTGAATGCTGGTTATTCTGTCCCTCCTTTTTTTTCTTTTCTTTCTTTTTCTTTTAAATGTTAAAGATTTTAACGCTGAGCTGAAGGGCTCCTACCTGCAGAGGTTTTAAAACGTTCCACTTGGTATTACTGTAACATGGTGTGCCTTGACTTTATTCTTTTTGTATACTGTCATGCCCTGTTCAGTTGCCTCCCCATTGTCTGGCTGCTTCAACGGTTCATCAGGTTGTTCATGATGAAATGGCTCATTTGTTTGTCCATGGATATTTCAAAACCAATTTTATATTGATGCAGTAAAACTGAAATAAATAACTGTAAACTTGACGTCTGCGCTTCCGTGTTTGTCACCGCCAACAGGAAGGATGTCAAGGGTGTCGAGGTTTTGCCTCCAGCAGTGCGGCCAGAAACTACCTCACATTTTCTTTTACTTCTACTTGTGCGGTGCCAGAAAACGTGGTGCCATTTTCAACAAGCCAAAACATGTGAAGCACATTTGACTTTGTAGGCCAAGTTTAGCGCCTTATGCAATGTAGCCGCTGACGGATTTAAGTGCTTTACTGAGGATTTACCTAAAGGAGAAGATGTAAAGCAGTGTTACAAAAGAGGTCACGGCTGTCCTCGAGCAGAATAGGCTTTCCATACCACTTCATATTGTCGCTGTTTATGCAAATTGACAGTTGTGCCGAGGCAAATCTCCTGCAGTAATGTTTGTGTCGGTCTTTAGAAAGCTCTGCAGCTTGGCTTCCCTTCAGGCTGCAGTGACGCTGCACATTTTAGTTTTCCATTCATAATGTAAATGCAATTTAGCATTTTTATAGTTTTTCACGTATTTTTCATCAGCTATAGGTTAACTACACTATTCTTAGAGCTGAGAATGTCCTTCCTGTGTGTATGTCACCCACTACAAAGTATACGGTTGTAATGAGCCTCTGAGGTTCACCTTGTTTTTTCCGGTGATCTTCAGCCCTGAGCTAATTTGACATTTACAAAGTCCACTAATCAAACAGTAGGAATAACAGCAATGAGGCAGCCATAAAAACAGCAACCATCAGAGCTGATAAGACTTTATTTGGGTGAGACAATAAATATGATAAATGATAAACAGCACCCCGGCGGCACAGAAAACATGATCTTTAAACCCTCTGATGGAGTTTAAGGAGATTTAGACGACATCAATCACACATTTCTGCAGCTCCGTCAGGCCGAGCACGACGGCAGCGCTGCATCAATGAAACATTAAGTTGATATATATGTTGCTCAGAGTGGCTGCTCCCACCAACTGCCACATCCATCCATCACCGAGCGAAACCCTCCCCTTAGCAACAGCTCCAACAAGAGCAGCCAATCCGGTCGCAAAAGGGTTTTTTCCCCCTCGTTCTCTCTCAAAGGCACAGCAGTGATTAAGAGATTGTGGTGTGATGAAGGGCATCCAGGAAGCGACTTGGTCAAACAGACCCGGTGCGCCTCCGACCGGCGGCAGCAGCAGCAGCAGCAGCAGCAGCAGAGAGCACGCCGAGGGCAGAGAGTTTGCATAGAAAAAGTGCTGCATGAGCTGTGTGGTGAGAGGCTGCAGCTCTCCTCTGTTTCCACTCACAATGGGCCACACAAATGGCTGCAAATCAAAATGGCTGTGCTGGTCAGTGAGCCTCGGCCCACTCAGATAAACTGGGTCAACTGAAGTGGTGACAGCTGGCCTCGCAGGCAACGTAAACAGAAAAGTGTTTTTTTTTTTTTACACTAAGCCGACTGGAATCTATAAGCAATCGGCAACAAATCCGCATATTTATCAGTCGTTTCATTTGTTATTAAGTCCGTACACTGAAGGGGTGCCTGAGTTATCACCTGAATCTGGAGCTTTATATGGAGTTTCAGCTCAGTATTTCGCTCACACTGCTCCAGTGTGGACATTTTGAACTGCAGCAGGTGGCTGTTCTCATAGAGAAAGCTCTAAAACGTCACCACAGCTGGTGGAGACCAAAAAAGAGCTAAAAGAGAGTGACTACTGAGCCCTATTCACCTGCATAGCCTGAGGACCTTGTGTGATTTAGTGATTAGATTTTCTCTGTGTTTAATGCGACAAATTTGCATGAGATAAGCAAAGTCTGTGTTTGAATTTATTGGAGTTATCTGCTATTGTGATAGGCTGCCACATAGTAACTGTTGAGTCACCAACATGTTCTTTTCTGCATGCCATCCATCTAATCACCCTTCAAGACTTTGCTCCTCTGATGGGCCTTCATGCTGTGTAGCAACATGAGAGTCGCGATTTGCACCAAAATTACTGTCCAAACTTTAATTTATATTTGCCAGTGCAGCCTCTATAATTGTCACACAGGATATCAGGCAGGAGAAAGGCAAGAAGAAAGAAAAACAATATCAAATCACCAAAATACTAATTCACATGGGACTAACAGGATCTCTGTGTTTGGCAAAATAGAGTAAAGTCATTTGTGGGGGAGTTGTTACTTTACGCTGAATTATGTGATTGTTACAAATGACTAGAGATCCCCAGTAATACTACTGCTGTAGAACTTTAGACTTACATTCAGTAAACACAACTGTGGATGACTGTTGATGGTCCCTGTGTGCTGGATGTGTAAACAGGAAACTGTTTGCTAGAAAGTTTGACTCACAGCGGTGATGACATGTCAATGTTTTGTGTGCAGCTTGATTATACCACTTTCAATTGGTGAAAAAAGAAATCAGATTGTAATTTCTACTGATGTGGATCTCTTAATCACAACAACAGAAAAAGATGTGGTGTGATGACATCATAAAGTAGCATGGGATCGTGGGAGTTGTCTTCAGCTCTACATCTGACATGACTCAGGCTCTGTACACACATACAATATGCTATTTTCACTGTTCACAGTATTTTTTTTTTTTACAGTTTTATTGATATGTTTGTGTTTTTTTAAAATCCACTCACGTATTTGCAGTAGAGGAGTGAAGTTGTCATTCCCATTGCACACTAGAACCAATCAAATCTCACAGGACTTGAACCATGGCACTGATATTCTGTAATACAGCTCTAACTGTGAGCATGCACGAGTCTCCCGAGTGTCTTGAGAAACCTGAGAGCAAATGGCTGTAACCGCTCAGTACATCTGAAATGGCTCCAGAGCAGCCAGAAGGAAATGCTGTTTCATCACGTTGGGAAGCTTCAAAGTTCACTGACTGGGTTATATTGTAAAACATTAAATGCCTATTTGTGTAATAAAACGCCATTTAATTCGATTTATTGTGGTTTAAAATGAGAATCTTAGCTTACAGTGCTGTTCACATGTGTGATATTTTTGGCACGGCTCGAGTGTTGCAACGTGTTCAGCGCAATGTGACCAACAAATCTTGGGACATGGGAGTTACTTGATGTTGAAAGGCCTGGAGGTCCGTGTCATGGCAGGTCTTTGCTCCACCCCGTCTGCCAGCATGTGGCTGCGTGACTGCAGGCTTGGCAACAGTGGCTGCCGCTTGGTCCCTGGCAGTGCCCCGCTTCACTTTCTGTTGCTCAACGGCCCTAAAACGCCAACACAACAAGGGCAGAAACCCAGACAGCCAGACAGAGCAAAGTATCACCGCTTCCTTGAAGCAGGTCACATCAGGCTTGTACAGGTGCTGGAGGATCACGGGTCAATAATTCTAACCTACGCCCTGTTTGCTCTTATCACTTGGCCACCCTTAAATTGAACTTTCCAGTGGTAACGGCACTGCTCCCTGAGCAAACACGCCAGTGCATTCACTGTAGTGTTTGCTTTAACATGCAGGCACGTTTCAGCGAACCTGAGTTTAAATATAACAAAAGAAACAAACTTTAAACAAATTTTGGTAGAACAAAAAGAAACATTTGCTCAACTAAGACAGGCCTCAAGCGGGCTTTTAATTTGCCGTCACTGGTGCTAGAAGCATTGTGATGGAGTCAAAACAGAACCAATGTATATTTTTACCTTCATCAGTTATTTTCACTGTTTAATCTGTCAGTAATTCAGTTTATTCTTTAGGCTATAAAACCAAAGCCCAAGTCAACATCCTTGAACATGTAGTTTTTTCCATAATGAATAAAGATATTCATTTTACTGCAGAGTAAAGAAAAGAGAAAATGTTCACATTTAACATGGAATAATCGTTAAATCGGTTAATGGCTGCAGCTCCACTGTCACAAGTTCATTTTGCATGTAATAGTAATTACTAAAGTAACTAAAGCAGAATGCAGAACTTTAACTTAAAGGTTCTACAGACCTTCACATTTCACTCTCATAGTTTTGGTGTATTAAGTCCAAGTGTCTGATTTCAGTTTGAAAGTGTTGTATGTTCTCCTTAGGTTACAGTAGCGTTGTAACGCTCTACAAAATACTCCTCAAATCAATATTTAACACAAAAATAAGTCCAAAAATATTTAGGCAACAGATTCCCCAGTGTTATATTTTATTGAATTATTGCTACCTCTCCTCTCAGGTGTAATCAGCGTTTTATTGTATTAGCTAGCTACTTTACAGACTTTACAGTAGTTTAATCTATAGCAGTGCATCACATTTTATCAGCTATTTATACCCCTGATTAGGTGCACATGTGCGATAAAATGTAATCTGAGCAGCAATTCAAGGACTAAACCTCTCAACATCTAGCATAACAACCCCACTGACCTCAATATTAAACACATCTGTGAGAAAACATTGTAAACAAAAGGCCGCCTTGCTTTATCGGTCACATGTGCAATTAACACGTGCCTTTTTATTAATTGTAAATATGATAAGTTCCTTTAGCTTATCTTTACTAGGTGTTTTCGCTGCCTAATGCTAACAAAACTGAAACTCGAATTTATTTGCATTAGCTGTGATCTTTCTCTGGATATCAGACACTCAGGAAATTAGAATTCTGAAACAATGGTGTCAAATTTCCTGATAAACATACAGCTGAGTTAACACCTCCCTGATACGGAGTAAGTTAGTCACATGCAAAATATTGTTATACCAAAGAAGCTGGTAACATAAATAAATGAAGCAGAGCAGAAAACACAATATTATAAACTGGGGATAGTAACTGAGTCTTAGTTGCTTGTCTCGACAGAACTAAACATGGAGAGGCCCTCCAGCAGGTTTTTAACTTGGTCCCAAACAGTTGCCGGCGCTGAAAACAAGTTTGTCGTTATGTAATGTGATGCACGTTGCTAGGCATTGCAAAGTTGTCTCATGTGAAGCTCACATTATTGTGCACGGCTCAGACCTACAATATGCCGCCTTGTGCTGCAGACATAATGTGAAGCATCACGCTCACTGATGTCATTAACCCTTCTATGTGACTCTCTGGCTGCACAAGAGCAGTGCGGT